TCAAACTCTTAGGCTCAAGAGTTCCTCCCGCCTCAGCCTCCAAAGTAGCTGTGATGACAGGTGCTCTGTCATCACCTGGCTATTTTTAGAGATGGGGTTTCACTCTTGCCCAGGCTGGTCTTGAACTCACAACCTCAAGTGATCCACCTGCCTCACCTTCCCAGAGCGCTAGGATTACAGAAGGGAGCCACTACGCCCAGCCACCAATGATGTTTTTTACAGAACTAGTAAAAACAATTTTAAAGTTCGTATAGAACTAAAAAAGAGCCTGAACAGCCAAAGCAATCTTGAGCAAAAAGAACAAAGCTAGACATATGGCATTACCTGACTTCAAATTCTATCAGAAGGCTACAGCAACAGCAACAGCGTGCTGCTGGTAGTAGACACACAGATCAACAGAATAGAAAGCCCCCAAATAAAGCACTAATTACAGTCAACTGACTTTGACAAAGTCGATAAGTGTATACACTAAGGAAAGGATATCCTTTTTAATAAATGGTGCTGGGAAAACTGGGTCACCATATGCAGAAGAATGAAACTGTACCCTACATATAAAAATCTACTGAAGATGGAGTGAAGACCTGAATGTGAGAGCTAAGACTATAAAATTACTAGAAAAAACCTAGGGAAAACTCTTCTGGACCAGGGGTCCTCAAACTATGGCCCATGGGCCACATGTGGCCCCCCGAGGACATTTATCCGGTCCGCTGGGTGTTTCTGCTGCTGCTGCTTATCCTGCTTAGCAGCTGACTTATCCTGGGGTCCGCAGTCCAGCCCTCCAATGGTCTGAGGGACAGTGAACTGGCCCCCTGTTTGAAAAGTTTGAGGACCCCTGGACTCTAGGCAAAGAATCTGTGACTATGACTTTAAAAATAGGCAACAAAAACAAAAAATACAAAGCTTCTGCACAACAAAAGAAATAATCAAGAATGACCAGACAACCTACAGAACAGGAGAAAATATGAGTAAAGCATGCATCCAGCAGGGGACTGACGCCCAGAATTTACCAGGAACTCAACTCAACAAAACTTCCACAATGAACCCACTAAAAAGTGGGCTAAGAATAGGAACAGACATTTTTCATAAGAAGACAAACAAACGGGCAACAAGCATATGAAAAAATGTTCAACATCACTAATCACCAGAGAAATGCAAAGGAAAACCACAGGAAGTATCACGTTACACCAACCTGAATGGCTACTATTCACAAGACAAAAAATTACGGATGTTGGTGAGAATGTGGAGAAAAGGGAGAATGTAAATTAGTATAACCTCTATGAAAAACAGTACAGAGACCTGTCAAAAAACTAAAAGCAGAACTTCCATAGGTGATCCAGCAATTCCACTTCTGGGTACCTGCTCAAAGGAGGATAAATCAATAACCAAAACAGATACCTGCACTTGTATGTTTATTACAGCACCGTCACCATAGCAAAGATAGGGAATCAATGCAAGCATTCATACGTGGAGTATGAGATAAAGAAAATGCGTTATACTATATAGCTACAGAGCTATAAAATACTATTCAGCTATAAAAAAGAATGAAATCCTGTCTTTTGCAGCAACATGGATGGAAATGGAGGTCACCATCCTGAGTGAAACAGACACAGAAAGACAAATATCCATGTTCTCACTTGTAAGTGAGAGATAAATAATGCAAACACAGAAGCAGAGCGTGGAGAGACGGACAAGGGAGACTTGGAGGAGGGAGGGTGGGGTGATGATGGAGGTTGCTTGGCGGGTGCAATGTGCATTGCTCCAGGGATGGACGGACTGAAGGCCCGGACTTCATCACAATGCAATAATATATCCATGTGCCAAAACTGCACTATATATACAAATATAAAATAAATGGAAAAAAATATCAATTTGTAATGGAGCAAAATCACGTACTTCATTAACATATTAAAGATCTCGTAAGGAATCTATTAACGTCTTAGTGATGTTCTGAATAAACGGTATATTGAGGTGGTGTCATATATGAAAATATTTGTGGATTCCATTGTGACAAAGTCACAGGCACTGTTTACACTATTGAGATGTCTTTCCTACACTTAATTGAAAGAAATACTAAACTTCAGAGAGAGGTTAGTGAAAATACTTATGTAATTAATCCCCCCACCATCTTTAGGAACTCGGTGAATTCTACCTTTGGACCATCTGAGAGTCTATTGATTCCAGATAAAGATCTCTTGAAGAGGGAAGATGATTTGGTCTGATCCAGAAAATTGTCTCTTTTTTTCCATTTTGACACATTTGGCCTAAATGTACGATAGCTATGTGGGTGACACTCAAGTTACCTGCTGGTGTGCCTCCCTATACATCAAAGGCCAGCTAAAGACCACAAATCATAGACTCCCCTGCAGGCTCAGTTCTGAAGGTGATTTGGGTTCAAGCAGTATCTGGGTAAAAACTAAAAGAAGTGAAGCAGCAGCTCTGTGCCTGCTGTTTTAGCTGGCAAGTGCAGACGTGGGCTGAGTTTCTTTCAGCAGTCTTAGTATGGCTCTACCATCCTAGTTCATGAGTGCCAAGAGGTAAGGCAGAGGCATTCATGCTGTTATA